CAAATCAAATGACTTTTGGAAGAGTTTCGAACGGATAAAAATTGAAAAGAAGTGTTTGTTCCCAATAGACATCTTGAAAAGAAGTGTCTATTCCATGAGACATCTTGCCTTATAAATATGGAGTTATCTCTTCTTCTCTAGTGGAGTCTTTTTGAACCTAGAAATATCTAAATAAAATAGCCTCTTTTTGTATTGCGATTACTTGAGAAATCCCTATACAAAAACTATTGTTTTGTCGCTTTCCAAATGGTTCAGTGGTTGATCTTGCTAGTGCAAAGGTGAGATCAACAAGGTGTTTCATTGTATCCTATGGACATTTCGGGTTACCCCCTTTGCATAGCAGATTTGGTGGGAACGAAATTAGCTTAAAGGAAAGTGGCATTTGCAGCACGCCTTAAAGCCAATGATATAATGATCTATTTTCTAACCCCCTATTTCTCCAACATAATAACTCTTTTAAACAGTGAAACTTGACATTTAAAAGAAATGGATAGTTTTCTCAAAAGGTAATAGGCCATTTAATAAAATTAAAAAATTAAGTACTCGGTAAATGCAATATCTTGTCCATTGTCATTGAGAAGACTCTCGGTACCGTTATGAACTTATGATTTCAATTGGATGTCTAATTAATCTTGTCCCTTTCACCCTAGCGTTCGTTTGTTCGGATAAAATTTAATAAAGGAAATAAAAGGAGAGAGTATGAAATGAAAGGAAGAGAAGTGAAGAAAAAGAAAGAATTAATGTTTTTTTTTTTTTTTTGATCTTGGTTTACAATGAAATGTAACAATTTTTTATCACTTATTCTACTTCACTTGTATGCTATGCAACTCGAATTTAAAATCTTTTACTTTTAGTGAAAACAGATAATTATTAAACTATTTAAGTCGTTAACAAAAAAAATTAATATTGGTTTTGTTTAGATAGATAAAAGTAAAAGAGATAAAATAATAATATTTTTATTTAATTAAATAATATAAAAATAAAATAAAATATTCAAAATTTATTAATTAAAAAAATAATTAATATAAAATATTTGTATATATTTATCTTTAAAAAAAATTAAATATAAAAAATTAATCTCTCTCAATCTCCCCGATTTAAAAAGATTAACAACAAAAGAAGAGAAGGATTTCATATTCCTCTGCCTCTCTCCTCCTTCGTTAAAATCAATAATTCAAATATGAAACGGAGGCATCTCCCAATCCTTCTCCTTTTCTTCCCCTCTAACTTCTCTTATCCAAGCTAAGGCTTAGTATTTCACATATCTAATTTGCTTGAAGTAGAAACAAACTGGAATGAATAAAGAAACCTGAGGTTAAAAATTGTAAGTTGAAGTTCAAAATCATATCTCAATTTTCCCATTAAATTCCCAATCCTATTCTAATTAGACCTCTTAAATCCTGTATACGTTATTGGATCCTCTCTTCTGGGTCAGTTTTTCCCCTTCCTCTTGGAACCATGTCTGAGCGGGGCCCCTACTTCGAAGAGTCATCTTCCGATGAGAAAGAAAAACTATCTTTCTTCTCGTAAGCGACCGTTCTTCGAAGACAAAGATTCCGATTACAATGACAGACCATCAGCCCCAAAGAGGGCCAGATTTCCAAAGGTTAAGAAGGTAAAACCGGAGGAGGAAGAGTCTAATATAGGTGATGTTTGGACTCTGTTAGGGGTGGATCCCCTCCTTGCTCGCGCGCAAATTGCTAGGCGGCGTTGAGAATCCAATCCGGATATCAAAGATGTAGAAATTACTGAGTGCGAAATTATGTATGATGACGATGAGAATTTTGTTGAGGACAATGATATGTTTACTCTCTCCTATTACACACTCCGTCACACCCTTTCATTGTCTGTTACTTACTCTGTCACTCTCCATTACTACCAGCCCAGCCTTTTCTTGCTCTCTTTGCTTTCCTTTCTCCCTCTCTCTGGGTTCTCTTGGAGAACTCGCGGCTTCTCCTTAGAGAACCCAGATTTGGGTTCTCCAGGAGAACTATCTGGGTTCTCTCGGAGAACCATCTAGGTTCTCTTGGAGAGCCCAGATGGAGGAGAGAGAAAAAAAAAAAAAAAAAAAAAGAAGATAATAATGAATTTTTATAAATTTTTGTTAGAATTTTTACAAATTTAATGTTTGGCTACCCAATAAAAAAGATGTGTTGTTTGGTTGATAAGAAATTAAAATGAGGATGGAGGTGAGGAGGAAAATGGATCTGGTGAGGACGGTGAATAGCAGGATGGAGGAGAGAGAAAACAAAAGAGGAAGAAGGAAAGAGGAAGAACATAATAATGATTTTTTACAAATTATTGTTAGAATTTTTACAAATTTGATGTTTGGCCACCCAATAAAAAAGATGTGCGTTTTGGTTGGTAAGAAATTAGGATGAGGATGGAGGTGAGGAGGAAGATGAATTTGACGAGGACTGTGAACAGCAGGAAGGAGAAAGGAAAGGAGAGAGAAAGAAAAGTCCGGGCTGGTTACTGTTGGAATTAACGGAAGAAACAGAGAGGAGTGGGTGTGTAACGGAGTGTGTGTACAGAGAGTAAGGGTGTATCATTTTCCTTTTGTTGAAGATGGTGTTCAGATAGAGCCTTTCAATCTCAAGGAAGAAAGGCAAATAAGTTATTTTGATAGAAGAGGAAACTTTGTCCAATGTTTCGATGATAAATTCAACGATCCATGGCTTGATGGTCTCGAATTCACCAAGCCAAAGCTTGCAGGGAAAAATGTACCAACACGCACCACACACACACCCACAGTAACAAGAATTAACAATGAAGATGCTGAAGGCAACATTGGAACAATAAAGAGGCGAATTGCGAATGTGCTCGAGCCTGGAGAAACTGTGTTACAAGCTTTGAGAGGGTTGAAGGGAACTTCAAAAAACAGGAAGGAGAAAATTGCAGCTGAGACTAATAAAGTGTTTGATCAGCTAACTGATGATGAAGGTGATTACTGTGTGTATCATGAGAGGCAGGAGGTTTTTTAGCTCAAGGCAAAAGCATATGAGAGCTTAGCTAAGGCCAGAAGGAAGAGAGTGGCTGACACTTTCGCAGAAGTTTTTAGCAGTCCTAATTCAAAGTCCTTGATCATTTCTTATGACCAAGGCTTTAGGGCTACAAGCAATGTAGGAGTTCCTATGATAGTGCTTATGACAAGTCTTCGGGCTACAAAGAGAGTAGCAGTTTGGGGTATGTTATAAGCCATCTACAGGACTTTATTTCTCAGCAGCATCGGAGCAATGGTATTGCTATAATGAGAAGACTGGCACATTCAAGAATATTTATTAGGTTGCATCAAGCAGGAGCAGGATCCCACGATTTCTTGACTTTGTGAAGCTCCCAGGTTAAAGTTGCCATGGTGGGTAGGTCACACATACTATTTCTCTATTACCAGTTTAGTTCACTCTTAATATTTTTCTCTTTGGTTGAAGTGCCTGCTGATTGTTCTTGCTGCTCTCCGATTTCGTTGTGATATCAAGACTCTGTTTCTATAGGAGGCAAGAAGAAATTGAAGATTGGACTTAGATAAGTTTCTTGATGAGGAACAGAAGCAACAATTGAAAATTTATTTAGATTATTGAGGATTTATTATTATTCAGGTGATATTTTAGATTATTATTCATTTCCTAGTTTTATTAGGATTAGATATTTTATTTAAGAGTTTTATTAGGTATCTTAGTATTTTTAGTAATTCTTAAGTCTTAGTCTAATTAGAATAGGAACTCAATTTCTTGTTAATTTTGGAATCTTAGGATTATAAATGTTGTTGTAACTTCTTTTATCATAGAGTCAAGTTAATACAATATTCAGAAATTTACGACAAGAGTTTTCTCTTAAGATTGTGTGATGCAATTTTGGTTGTGTGATGCAATTTTGATTGTGTGATGCCATCATCAACCTTAGGAGCGATATTTAAAGGTTTTATTCTCTTTATGTATTGCCTAAAGAAAGTTAAGTGTGAGTCCTAACGTTTTCCTACCTTTCTTGTTATTTTTCTGTTTGTTTCCCTCTTTTCATATCTTAATCAACCACTTAAACCCTAATTCAATGTTCATGCATAATGTTTACAATATGTATTTACCCAAAACAGCCGCCAAATCCCTAAGCCCACATATGTCCTAACCTGTCCCGCATTAGTTCCATGCTGTTTTCCATCGATTTTTATGCAGTTTTTTTATTCAGCTATTGTTTTGATATCATTTGTTTTGTTTTTGGATTAGCAGAATTTTGTATTTCTAGAATTTAGACAATTCCTCTGCCAATGTTATGATATTCATTCCTTTTCGTGTATTTCTTTGACTTGGAAGGCTGAATTTCTTTTTGAATGAAGATGCTATAATTTAATTTCGGCCCTGTTGACATCAACAAAATAAGATGAATAGGCTTTTTGAGAATTTTAATTTGTTCAAGCGTTTGTCATAACGTATTACCACTACTTAGTTGATATAGAATTTTGGGTGGTGCAGACTTCTTCTTTTAGCAAATGACAGATCCTTATAGACTGTTGTAGATGGTTTGTCTTTGAATGAAAGACCCAAAATCAAGTTTTAATCGCAGACTTGTTGATTTCAATATCTTTAATTTAGTATCTATATCTTTTGGTTATTTCAAAATTTTGGTTGGGAGGCAGTGAAATGACTCCAGAGAATGGCTGATGAAGAAAAGGGGAAGGAATTGGTGCCGCCTAGTGAAGTAGTACACTATCTTAAATATTGCTAAACAAGGAGTAGAGTAGATTTCAGGACAAGGCTTTATAGTTGGATTTTTGCACATAGCAATCCACAACATACCTGTGTCAACTACTGAAATGAAACAATTACAAAACCTATACAATCGAAAGAAGAATGAGCAGAAGACAGGAAGTCCAATAACATACTAATTAATTTAAGAAACCTTGTGTTTTGCAGTTTGTAACTGTAAAATACCAATTATTGGATGGAAGAATTCTCTCAAACCCTACACTTAATTCAATGACTAATATTCTGTAGCTAGACTGCTAAACACTTTTTTTGTTAAATGCACAAACTTAATTAATGGCTGTTTTTTTTTTTTTTTTCAAATATTGTAAAGTTAAGTAGAGGAAATACTTAAAGAGTGCTTTTAATGATGCAAAAACAAAAATATCTGCCGTTACACTCTGTTTATTATTCTTTTTAAAAGGCATTTCTCTTTTTATGGTATTTTCTTCTATTTTAGGTTATTTGTTGGGACATATGCCATATACAGACAATTGGGATCTAATGCACGAGACAGGTCAATCAGCATTCAAACGTAGGTTTTTTCTCCACACCTTGACACGTCTTCCTTCATGCACCTATCCTTCCTTGATAATGACGAGATTTTCTTACCATATAAGGCTTTTAAATTCAGTACTCCTTTCTCTTATTCCATCTATTCAAACAGATCTATCAACTCCTTCCAGTCACCTGAACATGGCTTCTTCCCCGGTGGAGGAAGGACCAGATCTGATTAGCAGGCTCCCTGATAATATCTTGTCGGAGATCATCTCACTTCTACCCGTGGATGAGGCCGTAAGAACAAGCATCTTGTCTCCGCGCTGGAGGTACTTGTGGAAGTTTGCGTCCCGTTTAGATTTTGATCCGAAGAGAATGATAAGGCCGAGCAAAAAGGTGCTTTGTCAAGCTCAGATGCTGAGTAACCGCCTCGGGATAAGCTCGGGAGGAAGCAAGCTGAAGAAGGAGCTGTTCCATGCCGTTCTCATGATTAACAAGGTACTGATATGTCACATTGGTAAGCTGACCAGCTGCCGAATTGTACATTACGCCGACAGCGTCAAGCATGGTCATGTAGGTAAGTGGATCCAGCGTCTTGTATCTGAGAAAGGGGTAGAGATTCTGGAGCTCAAATGCAAGGATTTTCCCTCTCATGCATCCTCTTCTCTGGCGAAAAGATATTTCAGTCTGAAATTATTGGACGTCCGACCTGGGATTTTTGCCTGTCCTACTCTGCATGTGCTCGAGATGACAAGATACAAGCTTGAAAACGACCTTCCTTTTACTGGTTGTAATAACCTCCGAACCCTCAAGCTCAAATGGATGTCACTTTCATTTGAAACTCTCAATGGAATTGTGTCTAGCTGCGTGCTCTTGGAGAATTTGATAATTTGTTCCTGTATCGGGTTCAAACAGCTTAAGATTTGTAATCCGAACTTGAAAACTCTAAAGTTGAAGGCCTTGCAGCTGGATGAGGTCCTCATTTCCACCATAAGCCTTGATGTTCTTGTGATTGATACTCTAAAATGTCAGGCCAGAAATTTGGTGGTTCATACCCCACTGCTTCGGGTGTTCCATGCATATTGCAAAGAGAGTAATGAAGATAAATTCTTCTTGCTTGGTCTCAGGGGCCCTCCAAGGGAACGGCTGAAGGTTGCAGAAATTTTTGAGCATTGTAGTGGCCTCTTGGTATGTAATTCTTCACGTAGTTCTCTTCTTGTTTCTGTTGTCTTAATTCTACATGCATCATGAACTCTTCATTTATTCTGTTAACTTCAATCTGTAAGGAAATATCTTTACTTTATTCAAATCGGTAAAAAAAATTTAAAAAGCCATGTTTAGACACATTAGATATACATGTTAGAGATGGAAACTAGAAAGTTTCTTTTGGTGGCTAGGCCTACTCAGCTTCCTCGATTCAGTCTCTAGCATAAGTGTCAAATTCAGACACTTTATATCAAATCAAGTAGCATATATAGATCACAGCTCCATTGATATCAAAACACATACTTGTCAGGGATAGGGAAGGAACTAGAATTTTCTTTTTAGAAGTACAAGTATTTCTCCCTTCCATCTTTGCTACATGTATCAAATTAAGACATTTTATTATACCGAGTTCAATGACGTTGAATGATCAAGGACCTTCTGCTTGGGAATAGCACTAGGACTTTTAGTTTGATAGATAGGCTGGTCCTGCTTCTCTTTCAACTGATCTTTGTTCATGTTTTTAATATATAGCCTCAGAGATCTGAACATGGATATTCTCAACTGATGGACCAACCAAACACCTTTGGAAATTTACGTATGCTATGTATTGACTTGGACCTCAACAATATAAGGGAAGTGTTGATACTTAATATTGTTTTACGAGTTTGCACCTTTTTGCAGATACTTGAAATCAACATAGAGGTATGCACCAATTTAGCTATACAGTAGGATAGAAGGTGGATAAATTGAATCAAAATGACTTCAATTAACGCATGCATTTTGATATATTCAGGACAATAACAGAGATGGCGATGATAACTCTGAAAATTCCTCAGCATTGCCATATCCAGTGTCCACATTATGGGACAAAAGAGAGCTGTGTGACTGCATCACACATAGCCTCAGGGTGGTGTCCGTAAAGGGATTCGAGGGGAAAGAGAGAGAAATGGAGTTTGCTGAACATATCATAACAAAAGCCACCATGCTGGAGAGGATCACCATTTGCTGTGCAGATAGCTGTTCGAGAAATGGAGCCATTGCAGCAATGGGGTTGCTGTCACTGCCAAGATCCTCCATCAATGTTAAAATTATGTTGAAACCGGGGCCTGACAACGCGTCAAAGGTTGGTAATGAGGATTTTGATGGTTGGATTGCAACCCTCAAATAGAGGCACTTGACATCGTTTGTGTTTGTGTTTGTGTTTGGGTTTGGGTTTGGGTTTGTGTTTGTATCGTGCTGTGTGACTATAGACATATAATTTGGACAACTTCTTGAACCCGAAGATATATGGTACCGTTCGCCAGTAGGAATGGAATCAACTGTGTGTTTGTGTTATGAACCGTTTTTCTCCAGAAAAGAAAAAAAAAAAATGATTTATAAGACATGATAAAGATATCATGGATGCATCTAAGTTTATATATACATATCTGATATAGATATCATAGATGCATCTAAGTTTATATGTATATAGTATAGACTTATTTACACATAAATTTTATATA